TAGTTTATTAGGCAGGTCACACTACTGCAGCGTGTCTTATTTATACACACACACACACATACACCTGTTCGCAGACAATACATCCGGGATGTTTACCGTTGGGAACAATTCGGATGTCATTTGCATGCGATACTACTGTAAATTTCTTAATAATCATTGTTGTGTAGATCTTTTTACTAAATTTTAACTAGTAAAGATACCCGGTTCTCATACAGTCAAAAGATCTACGAAGGAGTACGGTAGAGAAATCAAATTGTATAAAACCCGTAACTAAAAAATTAAGAATGATACATGTAGTTTTTGGGAGGTAAACAATTTATCGATTGGATAGGTTCATGAAAATTCAGTCATTTGTGGAAGCAATACAGCGGACTTTCAGGCTACCCTACCGAAAAAGTATTAAGGCACTATAGTGATTTTGAATGTTCATTTTTTTAATATACCTAACGGTTCGATATATTATTCCATACATAAGACGTTCTGAGCATTAACCGTTTGTATTGTGTTGGCGCGATAATATTATTTTATGCATTGATATTATGGTGACTTCCTTTTGCACGCGTCGAACAGGAACGTTGAACAAGTTATATTATAGTATATAAGCAGGTGTATTTGCTTTCCGGTCGTTTTTTTCCTTATAAACTTCAAACGTTTTGTGTAGAGTATAATAATATTGCCATTGAAGCGCGTTAATAAGGTTTATTAACTATCCACACATTATACGCGCGTTATAATATTTCATATTTGCAAAAGTAGTTCAAATTTTATGGCGCGTTTGACCGTGTGAATGATTGAAATATGACGTGGAAAAGAATCGATTTTCAACGAGCGAAGGTTTTCAAGGAATAAAAAAAATAGGTAAATTTGTATGGCAATTGGATGAGACTTCTATTGTAATATAGGTACTGCGTTCTGGCACGATAACAGCTACGTTAACGTCACGTTTATGTAGGTGGTTTAATACAAGTTTCATCTACAGGTATCTGCGGTGTATACAAAAGTGGACAAAAACATTGTACAAATCATAGGCGTTAACACAGTTTTGTACAATGAGGAGTGTACATAATATTGGAATACACGGTCACAACTAAACGCTGACTATTTCCGTTGAAATAGCATGAAAAAAAAAACTTACAAAAATAAAAAAATAGAAGTTCATTTATTGAATATAGACCAATAGAAATATCGAGTAACCAGTGATATCCGCACAAATATAAATTTAATTTAAAATCGACCATTGAATTTTCTAAAATCGAAGAACTCTTTTATCCGTTTAAAAAATTTGTTTGTAATTACTGATATCATCACTTTTCATTTTGTTAAATCGACTTATTTATTTTAACGAAATAATCGATTCCAACTTTATTATAGCTAGTTAATGAGTTTAAAGTAAACGAATTTTTTAGAAGTTTTTAACAGTTAAAATAAGTATCTTAATAGCTTTACAGTCCTTATATTAGTTTATCATGGTGACTCCCTTTTTCTTTATTTATGTTAGGCTTTAGTTGGGTTGTAATTAGATTCTCGTTGAAAAGTTTGACCTGCTTTAAATATATTGGGATCCCTTGGCATTCAAAAACTTTAAGTAGCTTCATGATATAAATATATTAAGTATTAATAATTTAAACTATAGAAAAGTAAATAAAATAAGATGAAAATATGCAGTAACTATACAGTATTTCAAAACAACCAGATGCATTGAAGTATAATTTGTATTACAGTAAAAAAAAAACGTTATTAACAGAAGTCTTCTAGCGTATCACTTCTTCGGGTCGTATACACCGAAAAAATATTATATATATGTACCTAGTATTGTTGTATTATAACACTATACTGTTCCACTAGATTAATTGGCCGTAGACCCCTTACGGTCAGAGCATCAAACGCATACTCGAATTGTACAATACTATTCTATTGTAACAATAGAAAACTACAAATTAGTTGTAATTTCCTCGAGATAAAACAGGAGGCTTGCACGTGTTAACGCGATGACGGCAATAAACTTTAGTGATGAGTGAATCTTCGGATTAAAAAAAAAAAATCACTTGTCGCGATTCTTGTTGCGTGTACTGCGTTCTACGTTCGTCTAGTTAAAAGTATTGAGAATCGATTTGGTCTCCATAATAATTATAGTAATTACTCTTCTCCAACCGACTCGTGTCGTCTCTCTAGCTAAAAACCTTGATGAATCAAATATTTTTGAAAATACCTGCCACTGAATATAATGTATATTATTATACTGACTTCATATCCGTATATTCGATTTTTGATTAAAAAATAATCACAACCTTTTTTTTTTTATCTAAGTCTAGCCTACCTCATTTAATTCCAAAACTCCAGTTTCCCTCATTGTAAAGTCCATGTAGAAACAGCCAACGCTGTTGAATTTTCTAAACACCTACCTGTCTATCTATTGTTAGCATTAATAATAGCTGATCAACTGACCATTTCTACTTATATCATTATTTAATCGTTTTCGTGATTTTAAAATGTTATTCTCGAATATACTAACCGTGGCAGAATAAATGAATATGATCTTTTCTAGGATTTACTATTTGGTATCGACAAAATACCTAAATCATTCCTAAATACCCTTGACTCCACAATTTTCTTTTCTAGTTTTTCTGATATAATTTCCTTTTTTCAGGTAACATTTGGGAACAATAGACTTCCTTCACACGCTTTCCGCCTACTTCTCAATGACTCTCCGTTTTGCGAACGTCACTATGTTGTGATTAGATGAGACTTTTCTCATATCCTCTACGACTGTAATTCATTTTTTTCGCCCATTCGCTCGAAGCCAGTTTTACATTTTAACCGGCCATCGCATTTGCCCAATAAGTTCTCATACTTCTGGTGATTGACCAGAAGTGATTTCCCTAGTAATCCTTAATTTTTTATTTCGGTTAGTTGACATGATTTGTTTAGATATTTTTTTAATTATTTTGATTTAAATTATATATTTTACACAACTGATGTGAAAATCATTTCTATCAATACACTAATTTCATTATGGCACCCTTGAAAATTATTTAACTCCCCATATAACAAAATCGTATGTACCCTTACACCAATAATTATAACTGTCGAATATCTTCATTTCATTATATATTTTCGGCGTACAACGTCTATATAGTACCGTCGTGGAGATATCAGTTTAAACGTCTGTTATGAGAATAGATGCATGATTGATTTTTCCTCCTCATTGTTGTCATCCCAGACAAAACTTTATTATAATCGGGCGCGTTGTCGTGTCCTTCAGTAGTGTGAAAAATGGTATTGGTCTTGTCAAAGGACAGTGAGACGGCGACGCGCAAGGTCACAGCAAAATATCGATCAGTGACTCTTCCCTGTGAGTATTACTGCAGTGACATAGAAGAGATTTAACGATCCAAGTATGACTAACAAGTGAAATTAAATGTATGTGGAGTGTGATATGTATATATTACACAAAAAGTCATCGCCGCCCAATAACGCGCCGTGTCGAAATGATCATATTATATAGATACTTACTATTATATAAATGTCGTTACAATTGCTACAAGAGTTAAAGTGATCCAAAACCTAAAATAATTGAAAACGATTGTCGATCGGTTGGACTACGGTGAAATGACTTATATCTACCTCGAGTACTATACTGAATACCTATTTATATTTTATTATAATCAGATTGGACAAGAACACTATTGTATAAGGTTCGCGCCTCTCTGCCCGCGCAAAGAAAATGCCAAAATCTAATTATGTTACACCACATATATAGTATTCATTAAACGAACAACTTGGATACATTGTGTAAACCGGACACAATGAGCCCGGCTAATTTTGTTTTTAATAGACACATTTGAAAAATTCATAACCAACGCACTAATTCTCTTGTAGTGTGGTTCTATCTTTCACCTTGTCCGGTTACAGGCTAATTGATCTTTTTGCAGGTCGATCCGTAAATTAAAATCTTGTATTATTTATAATTATAGGTAAATTGACACGTTTTATTGTTAAAAAAAACTCCCGAGGAAACGCTTAATTCAAATAGGTTTTCATATTCAAGGTCTTCAAGGAGTATGATCTATATATAGTAATTCAAACGGTTCTATATAATATATTTTACAAAAGTATTTCTCGTGAGCAGTATGGTTAAGTTCAGGGTCAACGTAAATAATAGTTTGAATCATTTGCCAAGCTCGAGTTTTAAATTTGTAAGCAGCCTGAAGCTTCTCTAGAGACTAGAGGGTCCGAATTTCAATGACTCCCTAGGCACGTGTCTGGTTGGGAGGGGCGAAAATAGAAAAATAAAATAAAAAATCGAAAGCACTTTAACATATTTACGCTTGTTTTTAAATTCCAAAGGATCAAGTTGGAGTAATTATAAACGAATGGAACAAAGCAATTGTATAAATGTAATATTTCACACAGAAATAATTAAAATTGAAATTAAATTGTGTGACATTAATAAGTAAAAAAAAATTAAAAGATAAAGTGTTGGTTATTTCTAAAAAAGCAAAATTAATTTACCTTGAATTTTACCCCTTAGGGTCTTACGACTTACATATATTACACCATTTTATTGTCTAAAATTGCAAGACTTTATTTAACCACTCGATTTATATAAATAAACTTGTGTTTTAAGACTTAAAAATACTCAGTAAAACTAGTCGATAGGACGTTAAAATGCACCTTGCCTCGTTATTACTTCGAAATACATTTAATGAGGTATGCATTAGATGTTAAAATCTCAATATCAGAATAGGTATAAAGGTAATAAAATTATGTTCTATAATTATTATCTTTTTATAAGCTATGTACGTAAGCTCATTCTTCAATATGATATTAGTGTTGTTCAATTCCAAATTACTATTGTTCATACAAGTAATAATTTATTGTAATTGACATTACTTTTCAGGGACGAACTAAATGGAAACCGTGTATTGTTCGCGAGTTGGAGACTTGAACGGTGGATGACGAAGGAAATAATAACGCTTTTCAATTTCAAGAGTACTCACTCGGATGTCATTTGTATAATCATTTTTCAACTGGAAACAAGCTTGATCATAATGTAATATCACGTAACAACTCGTTGATCGCGGCACACACGGTCGTTCGGATCGATAGCGAGTAGATCTTCAGTGGATCACTGCGGTTTACACACTGAAGACGGTCTCATTCAAAACGGTACGAGGAATGACGAATACAACACCGGTACATCTTGTCGGCGTACGCACAACTCGTATACACATTGTACTGTATAGTATCTCGGTGGCGCGTATATTACTTATTACTCCCACTACACACACACACCGCATATAACATAATATCATACTATACACAAACACGCGTCATATACGTGTCAGCGTTACGTCACTGTGCACAACTGGGAGGCACACTTTCTTGTTTAGGAGGACGAAAGATACCAATTTTATAGGAATTATTATTCGACGACTACGAGTGTGTGTGTTTTTTTGTACTGTGCAGATTATTAGCCACAGGAAAGTCCTTGAACACACTCGGAAAAGAATAAACCAACGTAATATTTGGGCACATTGCTTACAAAATACAGCGCGGCTCGCTCTAACGTCGGGTTAAATAAAATAGTGGTCTTCGCCTTAGGTGTGGCATAATTCAATTACTCGAGAGAGTATACGCACTTGCGCTTATCGGACCTACCCTAACTACTAAGGAGACTACTAAAAAAGTAGTTCATACTTCACAGACTAGGTGACTTTCTCCGCTTAATTTCACATATATTAAGCCCCGATTCCAGCCAACAACCGCACATCGATTAGAAGACAAAACAGTGTTCGGAGCGGTCGCTGGTTTAATTTTAATGACTTTACTAGGTATAGTAGTATTTTAGTGATGGGTACTATAAAACGAATGGACAATGATTACCAGATTGCATGTTGATAAAAGTATACTACTCGGCACAAACGTAATACCTAATGCGAATAGTGATTTATAAATAATGTTTATTTTATCATTTTTGTTCTTATCTACTCGTATTAGTTATTATAATTTTAAATAATTATCTATCATTGTGTTGTTACTGTAATTTATCAATAAAGTACATTGACAAAAAAAAAATGTAATGCCCACCAGGTGTTAAAAAATAAAACATTTATTTGTCTAGGTCATGTTTAATATTATATATTATGTTCCTTATTTTACCTTTTTAGCATAAAACATGCTTTAGTCTTGGCCTCCCAGCCCGAAAACGACACAAAATAGCGTCACGAAAGTAGCGCGCCTACTTTAAACGTATAGTAACATATAAGATACCGTCGAAATAATAACGAAACGTCGTCGTCATGCAAACGTTTTGGCCAGAACATATAGTTTAGACTATAATATACTATCGTCATAAATCGCAAGGAGATTATATATCAGAAATAATCACTATTCAGGAGCCAGCAGTCTAAAGCATGTTCTAAAAAAAAAAAATAATAAAATCCCTTAACCATAAAAATTATATACTCTCCGCGAATACGTCGTATTTCGGCAACAATGTTGTTATCTTCAGCGCTCACGACAGCCTGAAGTCATGACAGTTCAGTCTGTCAAGGGTTTTTATTATTATTTTATTACATATAACCATAAGTACTTTTTTTTTTCTAGATTAAAGCATGCTCCATGTTTTATAATTTTAGCCGTTAGGCTTTAAGTAGACTGTAATTTTTTTGTACTTGTGACTCCTTAAATTTCTTTATTATCTTTCAGAACGCTAGTATCCAACATCCCAACCAGAAATTTCTGTACTATGCCAGTATCAACGACAGGCGCAATACTGCGCCTGTACTGAATACCGACAGTTGGCTGGTCGTACTGGCTAAAGCATTGTCTTAGTACTGATTGGCCAGTATTGGCTGCCAACGTTACGCCAGTACTGGCATTACAAAAACTGCAGTATCGGCTAGCCCTGGCTCTGCGGACTTTTGCCAAGCTTTGGCTGAATATTGACGCAGTAGGCAATACTGGCATTACTGCGCCCTACCAGCATAAAATCGGTACCGATTATCAGTACTAGTCCAGTACTGGCAGTCAATAAAGAAAATCGTTATTATTTGTGAGTTTTACCAGTGCGGGCGTAGTACAGACTACAAGTACTCTACCATTACTGCGCTCTTGAAAAATTTTAGGGAATTTAACAGAAGTAAACGACGAGAATACGTGTATAGGCACTGAAATACCTACTACCATAATGCTCTATTATCTATACATTTTTTTTGGATATCATTTTATTAAAACCTAACTAGTAGGTAAAAACAAAATTGCTTAATGATTTCAACAAAAAATAAGTGATAATTAAATAGAAATTAAAATTGACTAAGTAACTCGAAGTACTCAATCTAAGTACTAAATAATTAGGAATAATTCAAACAATTTGTTAATATATTTGTATAGATTTTTTACATAAATTACCATAGAATACAAAAATGACGTAGAAATTCCGGAGAACAACTCTACTGCACGGAAAAAACTATATAGTTGGGACAACCATAATTATGGTTAATATAAGACACAATAAATATTCTAGTTGGAATAACTAAATAAATAGTTGGACCAACTATACTTTTAGTTTGGTTAACTAAATGTTTAGTTAGGAGCACTGTAATTAAAGTGCTCTGGAGCACCTGTTTTTATAGTTCAAATCCGTTGAAAAATAGTAGAAAAAAGTTAATTCTTTTAAAGTATATACAGTTAACATTTCACAAGATATTAACTGTCGTTAAATATCTAAAGAATTTACATTTTTTTTATTTTTGTAACATTTTAATACCCAATTCAAAAGCTGAATAAATTTTGATCAAATACAATTTACAGTAGTTTTTCTCAATTTAATTTAAGTTGATTACATTTTTGGCCTAGTAGTATAATATTACCATTCAGCTCATATCAAATCATAATTATAGATACTTGGTGGTTTTAGGTTTTTTTTGATAAAATTTGTTTCCAGTCGACCGCAGTAAACGACCGAAACCGTTCGATTTGGGTTAGAAAGTAATAACATTTAGAATATTATTTCCTCGGTTCATCACATGTGTATAATATTTTTACAGTCAATCGATTTACACGCGGAACACGGTAGACCATATTATGATAATATTTTATTACCATCGTGTACGACGTCCAGCTTGAGTAAGCTATGCTGTGATATAGATAGTACGTCTGGCGTAAATCGATTTGAGTTTTTCGCATCGCTGGACATCTAATAAAACCATCGTTTTACAACGCTCATCTGCCACGCCGCTCTGTCCACTGCACTGGTCGGTTCACTGGTCACCGGGGTCGACTCTTGGGCTTGTGTGCCGGCAATCTCGTCATAGGTTATGTGCAAATTATCGCCAACAAAATGTACATCATCATCATAAACACTAGAAGTGCTTCCAAATGTGTGTGTGGTTTTTTTCTTCTTTAAGTACGAATTTCTCTAGTCTATTTTAAAAAACAAATGTGCCTTATAGCTGTACACCACACTCGGATAACTCTGGTACCGCTGTTGAGCCAGCTAATGCAATTTAGACTACATTCATTGTTCAGCGAAAGAACGGACCTACGCAGAAACCAAAAAGCATTAAATTCGTAAGCGCCTGCGCAGACAGGAATAATCTGTTTTGGTTTATGCGCAGGCTCTTTCTCTCGCTGAACAGAGTATAGTGGCACGTCTTGTACTCTAACTGCGGTGTCGCCCATCGATCGTTTCGTACAGTTTTGTACTCTTGCGGAATGAATACCTACAATTATTAGCAACACTTGCATTAAGCTGACAAAAAGTACGACAATCGCTAAGGGTAAAGATGATACAGCTGGTTTCATTACTATGAAAAATAATATTATTGTAAAAGGTTATTCGCTAAATACTTTTTTAGCTACTGCCACTAGCTGATTACTGGTTGATTAGTGTTATTTACTGGTTGCTAAGTATCATTAACTTGGTCATCGTTTAATTATTTTTTTAATACATCTAGTCAACTTAGTATAGCTCTACTTAATAAACTGTTGAGCTGAATTTTATTATTTAGTATATACTGTTATTAAATTTGTTTAAAATATTAAGCTACCCATACTTAATAATAATATATATTACACACTATATGGTATAAAGTCTATCTTCTTAATTTCGATATGAGTTAACACTTAACATACAGTAACGTTAAAAGGTATTTGATATTTAGAGTAGTAAAATATGAAGGGCTCTGGGGAAGAAGGGTAGTAGTCCATTTATGAACATTTTTTTTCAAATAGTTTTTTCAATATTTGCCATACATTTTTTTTTTTATATCAATAGATTGTTTAAAAAAATACATTTTTTAGTAGAATAGCACTTAATGTGATTTTTTTTGTTCTTATGTAAGAGAAAGAGGAATTCACGAACTTTGTTTTTGCTATACTCTTAAATTTGCATACATGGACTACTACCCTTCTTCCCCTGTGCCCTTCATATGATGTCTTCCTGAATTATTTTATAAGTTAAAACCCTTTAAAGATACTTAATGCATATAACAGTGCAATGCATTCACGTCGAGGCCTTTTTAAATTTTACAAAAAAATTAATGGCTATTGTAGTATTAAAATAAAATACACTCAAAATAATCTGAAAGACTATTTTGTTAATAAAAAATGTATCAATCATAATGTTGAGGACATCAAACGGGATATTTAATATTTATCGTGACTGTAGTGAAATACATACACGCAATGCCCAATGGTTTAAAAATTACATGACAACGCATGTGGGTACTTCGATAGTTTTTCTCTTACCTAGATTCATTTCAGATAAGCATTAGCAAAGAGTCGATGTAGCCTGTAGGTGCATTAGGTATAAAGTTATAATCAGTCGTATTGTAAGTTATAATTGGCCAACGCTTGAAAGAGACAATAGAAACAATTGATTTTGTTGAGAATCGTTTTATTCTGTTTATACTTTTACAACAGCGTACTCGAATGTGTATGTTTCTACCGAACAATATACCACGTCGATCACACATCACGAATTTCATCCCGCTAAAGGCCCTATGTCTAGCGTCGATAATATCAACTTAGCCAGGGGCGGATCTGATCCTAAAAAACTTGGGTGGCCGTAGTCAGCAATCAAACGTTTATTCTCATCTCCACCTACTTTGTCTTCATTCTTCTCTTCGGATATATGTACACAAACATAATACACAACAACACACTTTTAATAGAACAACTAATATAATTTTATTCATTGTGTATATCGCAG